ACTTACTGTATTACAAAAACAGTTTTTCCCAAAGACCTTCTGAAAGAGGAATCCTTATGCTCTTTTCAAGAGCTGAGGAACAGTTTTCAGAAGGTTTCCCAGTAGACTACCTCTCAAGTTTAATTGACCAAAATATCATTTGCCTGATATTTGCCTGATATCTCTCTCTCTCTCTCTCTCTCTCTCTCTCTCTCTCCCCCTCTCTCTGTGTCCTTCATTCCCTCACTCCCTTACTCCCTCCCTCTCTCTCTCTCCTTGAGTTGGGATACTGGGACATTCATCAACTCTTGCTCTTAGACACCAGAGCTCCTATTTCTCAGGCCTTGGGATTTGGACTGAATTACACCACCAGTTTTCCTAAGTCTCCAGCTTGTAGATAGTATATTGTGGGATTTCTTGGCTTCCATAATTCTGTGAGCCAGTTGCCACAATAAATCATCTATCTATCTATTTACCTACTTATCTATCTATTCACATGTTCTACTAGTTCTGTTTCTATGAATAACCTTCACCAATACAGATGAGAGATAGAAAATGATAGAGATAGACAGATGACAGGCAGATGATAGAAAGAAATAGGAAGAAGAAGAAGAGTGAGAGAACAGTGGCCAGGCAACCCTTAAGCGTTTCCCTCTATCCCTGTGACTGGTGATCCTGAGTCATCCCCTTCTTAACCTCAGTGGGGGCCCAGGTCTGAATGTACAGGAAAATGATCTCTGATCTTACACAAAGGAGAGGTCCTGACCAAAGCTCCGTCTTCCATCACTTGAAGATCCCCTGGATCATGAAGCCAAAGTCTTCATGCCACCTCTGATAAGGGAAGATGCATCCTGAAGATACTTTCTCTTCTGACAAAGTAGGGAAATGGAGACTTGATAGAATAGACTTGCTGTACCTACACCTGGTTTCAAGCGCTGTTTCACTGTAGAAATGCTCTCCCCTTCCAGCTGAAGATATATAGCAGGCTACTTTGGGCCTTTTTCTTATTCCCAAACTATAGGGGCAAAAGCATACATTTTACTCCATGCTGGACTAGACCTTCACGGTGTCAACCCCATTCTACTCAAAGACATAAATCATTCTGAAATGCTCCATTGTCATTTTTCCTTTCCCATTCTTTTTATAGATAAAACTGTAGAGATGAAAAAGAATTGGCGTGCCAGGCATGGTGGCGCACGCCTGTAATTCTAGCACACAAGAGGCTCAGGCAGGAGGATCTTTGAGAATGCAAGATCAGCCTGGGCTACCAAGTGAGCTCAAGGCCAGCCTGAACTGCATAGTGAGACCCTGTCTCAAAAAGACAGAAAAATACGAAGAATTGGCAATTGTTAGAATCTATTCATAGGTGCTTCTTGAATATAAGGGACACAAACTGTGCCTGAAAAGCCAGACAACTCACCCTTTTTAACCCTTCAGATTGTGTGCAACAGCCTCCCTTTCCCCTATCCAGTTCCTGCACCCTTTCACACCTTCTGTGTGACTCTACTTACATCCTCTCATTTCCCAAAACAGCCGTTAGTAAATGTGCTGGTATTGAATGCAAGTAGAAATTATAAACAACCCTCATACCCTAATCACATGCTGGTCTGCCTATGGTCACACCATTCATTGCTGAAGTCCCAGTGTTTAGCATGGAAGCTGGACACATTGGATACCAAGTAAATTTTTCCAAAGGGATGAAAGCACAAAGACTGAATAAACAAGTAAATAAATGGAAGGATATCCCAAGTGGAATTAGGAAAAGAAAACCCACCAAGGAGGGGAAAAAGCAAGACAGGTCCAGACAGCTAAGGTTTAAATCTGGACTCTTTCTCTTAATGACCATGCGATTTATGGCAAGTTTTTCAAATCTACTTTGCCTAGTTTCCCTTTTCGTTAAAAAGAAAAGTGGAATAATGACAGTACTTTACTCAGAAAGCTGCTATGAAATTACAGGAGTTTTTATACCTAAGGTCTTAAAATACTACCTTGTGCACAGTGAGCATTGTGTATGTGTTTACCTTGTGATTTACCATCTCTGCACCAGCTCTAGTCTACTGTATGGAGATAATGAACACGGAGCCCAGACCAGGCGCTCCCAGGTCACTGCTGCATTTGACGGATCATAGACTGTGTCAAGTGTCCAGCTAAACCTGAGGCTTAAGGAAGAAGAAGACTTGGATACACAGAGGTCTTGCACTGTGGCAGTTGGGAAGAGGAAACTTGCTATAGGACAGAGGCAAGTCACAGAATTATTATGTGCAATACTGTATGAGGAAGAAAACAAAATCTGGTCCCAGGCAATGGCAAGACAAAGGACCAAAGGGTTGAATGTCTGCAGAATTTATTTTGCTTTCAGCTTTGTTAGTGTTGTTTTGAAGCCAATATGAATTCCCTAAGAGTCCAGGAATTTCAGGAAGCCTGGAGCCCAGCCTTCGAAAGAGACCCAGGAAGAATACAAAATTCCAGCGCAGGACGTCTTTCCAGGAGCTGCCTCTAGGGGGCAGAGTTCTCTGGCTGCGTTTGGCACCTCTTCACCTACAATAGTCTTTCATCTCTTTATTAAAGGTGAGGCAGTTGGGTTCCACAACAACTAATCCTAAGTGCCCACTTAGAGCCCCAAGTTTCTGCCAGTGCGTCTGAGCTTGGACACCATGATGAATGTGAAGAAAGAGTAAGTGGGAAAGCTGTGTCTATCAGAGAGATGCAACTGGAGAATAAGTCCATTGTCTGGGTCAGCATTGCACAGTTATAATGAACCAGAGGCAAGTCTCTAACTGGACTCAAATAAGTTAGCAAAATTATCTCCGTAGACACCACATCTCCCATCAGAAATCATCTTAAGAAAAAAAAAAAAAAAAGGAAGGATTAATTTCACGGTCAAGGGAAATATCCTCAAATTCCAGTATGAAGGTTATGTTTTCATCAGGGGGCACATTTTGGTTTCTATTAGCTAATAGCCTTCCAAGACACTATTTTGTTGTTGTCTCTGAAGAGAAATTAATATATATTTGCTACCTTTCTGTTTATTTGGAACATAACATGTGGGCAGAGGAAAGGATTTTCAAGCAGGTGTTCACCATAAGAAAATCACACTCATCTCCTAATGGCTATTCCAAGCTCATGTGGCCAATAATGCCTTTAGTTAAACACGTCATCAGTTTTAGAAAATGACTCTGGAAACATAGTCCAGCAGAGTTAGTGTTTGGCTGTCTTACTACCATCTTCAAGGACCATGCAGAATCATATTTACCTTCTTGAAGAGTTCTTTTCTTTCTTCATTCAGTAATGTCTAATGAGCTCTTGATAGACATTTCAAATAATAAAAAGTTTTATCTCCTAATAACTTGGCTTTACCAGATGACATAAAATCTTAGTGCCATTATTGGAACAGGACACATTGCCAAGACTATTTGCTTTTTTTGTTCTTGTTTTAGGCACATTGGCTGTTTTCTTAGGTGGTGGCATCAGAGCCAGCCTCTGTCCCTGTCACAGAGGACTGGAAGAAGGTCAGACCCAAAGGAAGTATAGAAGGAAATGTAACTGATACACTTGGAAGGGAATATGTCCAGTAGTACTGTCATCAGTGAAAGGAAAGAAGTCATCCAAGAGAATTCTTACCATGGAAAAGGGAAATTCCCAGCAAGCAAAGAAAATATCAGGGCATTCAGCACAGGCCTTTTCCCATAAACAATTTAGAGATTTTTCTTCAGATGCCTGTAAGAGGGAGAAACAAAAGAAACAAACTCTAGTGTTTCCGTGTGCCCATTAGGGTAGATTTCAATTCTACTTGGTATCTTAAAGGTCCTTGCAATAAACTTCCATTACCCCCAAGTAATTGACAGGGGCAGTGTTTCCACCCCAAGGAAACAACTTGGCTGAAACTGTACAGCTACCCAAGACTAAAGAACTCCCCCTAACAATGTATAGGAGCTCAAATCCCAGAAGGAAACATAAGTGCCAAACACAGTCCAGTGATTTAAGTGTCTTATTTCAAGGGATCCTCAGCATAACTCTGTGAGACAGGTGGCAATGTGCCCACTTGACATGTGCAAAGCCAAAGGCCCTGAAAGGTTAAACATCTTATCTAAGGTCATCCAAAGAGCAAATGATCTGGGGTCAGACAGTCTGACTCTCAAATTCATGCTCTTAATTTCATTCATTTAATTAATGCACCATATCACATATATAATTGTACTGAATGCCATAACACTTCCATGAGGGGAATATGATCTATTACCTCTCTTTTAGACAGGAAGAGAAGCTGATGCACTTGACGTGGTGGCATTGCTGGGAGATGAGCCTCAATTTTACCTCTTTTGGGAACCTAACATTTATGAACTATGCTTAAAAAGGAGGAGAAGTTCTTCTGAGAAAGCCCTGCTCCATTCTATAAGGACACGACTTTCGTGAGGATGCTGGTGGTGGAGGGTGGCTCTTTAGCAGCACAGAGAAGGCTGCAGCATGCAGTTTTACTATTTTCTTCCCATCATTTGGGAAGAGTTTCCATAGGATCCTTCTGAATTCATTTCATACAAAATGCATCCAGCCAGGGGGTGGCTTAACTGGCAGAAGCTTAATCCTCCTGGTATTTTAAGATTTTTTTCATTTATTGCTATTATTTTAACTAACAATTCACTTTGGCTATTCCTCATTTAACACTGGTTCAGCTGATGGAGAAAGCCACTTAGGGGAAGGGATGACCCGGCTAGCAAACAAGCCATTGTATCTGAAATAAAAATCAATTGGCCACTACACAGATTGCAGAAGAAGCTGCAAATAAAATTACTGTAAATTTAATTAAAACATTCCAGCCAAGTCCATACATTTGGTATTGATTACCTGGCTTGCAATTTCAGGGAGTTAATTAACACAGCCTCTGCCTGGACAACAGGCAAAAGCCAGATCAGGCGCTGGTTGTCCTAGCAACAGGTAGGTGAAAGCAGCTCACAGATTAAATGGAAAGGAAATACAGACTCTTACTGAATTAAACTTAAATGCTATGATTTAAAAACATGAAGAGGCAACTTAAAGTTCAAAACACACTTCATGAACATGAGTCATTATGTACTTCTAATTGGGCCAGAATGGTTTGTGCTGAAGAATGGAAAGAGAGAGTAGGAAGGGTAGGGACAGGAGTCACTCAGATAATCCATTTCCACAAGAGCAGTCCCTCAGCACTGCAGGCTCGGGGTTCTGACTGCATAAGAACTCATTTGTAAAAAGAAAACAGGCTGTTATGAATAATCTCCTAGGTTCATGAGCACATGCGTAAATGTATTTTCCATTCCCAAGAACATACGCAAGGGGAAGAAAGTACATTCTGGAGGACTAGTTGACACAGTGAAACTGCTTCTGTATCCAGTGCTAATACACACCCCTCGGGCTTCTTCTGAGCTAGAGATGTCTCTTTGTTTGTCTGTTTTCAGATGAGTAGATCTCTGAATTTGGTGGCTACACACAGGATGACTTATGACAGTGATCCCTAACAACAATTAGATGGGTACCTGCAAAGAGATAATATCATCTTCACATTGTGAGAATGGAACTCCACCACTACCACACCACCCCATACACACACCCTGCTTACAGATGCCTGGAAGTTTCTTGTCTGGTATTTTCTTAATCTATTTTGTGTTGCTATAACTGAGTGCCACAGACTAGGCAGTTTTGAATTATTTTTGCACATTTCTAGAGGGTGGGACATCCGAGAGTGTGGTGTGGCATCTGGGGAGGGGCTTCTCCCTGCATGATCCCATGGCAGGAAAGCAGAAGCTCATGGACAGGACAAAATCACTTGTATGACAACCTACTCTCAGGATAACTCACCCGCTCCAGTGACCATTAATCCGCCCCAAGGGCTCTGCCCTCATGTCTAATCTCTTCTCTTTAGACTCATCTCCCAAAACTGCCACACTGGAGGTCACGCTTCCAACATGTAAATCTGAGGGACACATCCTAACTATAGGAGCAACTCTAGAACAGAACCTGCCATTCCACCTTGGAGATATGTAGCCTCTTAAAACCAAAATAACCTTGACATGATGGCATGATGACAACAATGACAATTATGATCATGATAATAACTAACAGAAGTCCTAAATACCTAGTATCTACAACATGCCAGGAATGAGGCTGGGTGCATCCCAAAGTGGTGATTTATTTAATAGTCTTAATAAACTCTAGAAAATAGGTGGTTTTATTGTGGAGAAAATTAAGATTCGCAGAGGTAGGTTAAATCACCTCCCAATCTCACCTCCAGTGTATCGTAAAGCCAGAATTTAAAATCTGACACATCTTTCCCCAAAATCTATGCTTTTTCCACCATACCAGTAATTATCCAAACTTTGTAATGGAACCCCACTCCTAGTCTTTTTACTTTAAAATGTGCAACTCTGATTTATAAACTCTGTAAAGGTAAAAAGGGTGTGTGAGCAGAGGCCCCCATCCAGTTGCAGAATGAATAAACTTAGCTTCCCACCTTCAAGCTCACAGAGGCTCTTGAAACATCTCTGCAGGAGCCTAGCCCTCTAGGGGGCGTGGTGGTGATGGCCCTGTCCACCACCTAGTAGCCCTACTTGACAGAGTGAGAAATTTTGATGAGCAGATCCACCACCTGCCTCTTCCTCCTACCACAGTTCTGGAATCTCAGCTGGTGGTGCATGATTTGGCTTCTCAGGAGGGATCACCAACAAACAAACACAGAATGGAAGAAAAAGGAAGAAAATGCTCTCCAAGCATATTTTAAGTGACCTTAGAGAGCATTGGTGGGTTTGTTTTACTTTCCTAATCACATTTGACTGACAGCCCAGACCTGACGTTGGTGGAGCACAAAACCCAGGCTCAACATTAGCTCCAGCTCTGGACATGGCCTGTGTGTACCTGGACAAGTTGCTTCCCTTTTGAGCCTGAAGGACTTCCTTGGTAAAGTAAAATCAAGCTGTACCACATATATCCTAATGTTAAACTGTCCTCATCACTGTGTAGCTCTTGTATTTATGATTTTTGAGCAAACACATTTAAAATGAAATGTTATATGTTGACTCTAAATAAGAAAATCAGTGTTATCTTCTAACATCTATTCACACAATTACATCACCCACAAAATGAAAAATAGAGTGTTTGTCCTTTGTCACTTCAATATATTGCAAGCACCACCACCAGGAGTGTGTGTGTCAGGCTTTGAGACATGCTCAAGAAATTAGAACTTTTACTTCTGGATTATTTCCAGAACCTCTTCTGACTCTGCCCTTCTGTGATCTATGGTAGGATTATAAAGGAGATAGCTGAGCAGGATGGGCAGGGACAGAGGGCCAGCCAAGGAAAGTGAAGAAGAGAACAGGTAGCTCACAGCTACCAATGGTGGAGATGGCTGAGGGCATAAATGCAGTCTAGGTGGTAACATGACCACTGTAGGTTCCATCAAGTAGCTATCAACCGCCACTTGCCCTGAGATTTCTTTAATCCCAGAGAACTGAACGGCAAGCAAATACATGGAGTATGAGATTCATTCCCCTACCTGGGCTCCCACACACACATTCCACACAAGATCCTGCTCTCTGCAGACACCCACTACTAACTTGTGCATAAAACAGTTCTTCAATTCACAAACTGCATCTCACCCACGTTATTACATCCATGAGCTCAGTGGGCATACGATGTTCATTTTTTGATGACGAAGCTGAGGCTCATAGAAGGGAATGAGTCAGACGGTACACATCACCCTTACCATTCAGTTCTGTTTCCTCCCAGCCACAGTTCCCTCCAGATGGATCACGCTCTAAACATCTCAGAATTCCAACCACAGAACTCAACAACTACTGTACTTTCCCACACTTTGGAGTGTGTAGAAAATCCACAGGGAGTGAAAAGTATGTGCTCCCTAAGCCTGGGATCAGGTTGCACTCAACATGCCATATCTTCATTTGCTGGGGGTGGTTTTCAGCCTATGGCTGAAGGGCCACCAAAGTCCTGGTACAGTAAGGATGCACTAGAGCCTGGCAGTCCACACCACTGGACTGCTCCATTCCTTTTTCAGCCTTGATTTATTCTAACGCAAATTGAGCCCAGCATGCAGGGAGTTTCCCAGCCCTCCTTCCCAGAGCTCTACAACCTGGCCTCTGTTGGGAGTACACTGCACACTAACTGGCATAACTTGTACGCCTCCGCTTTTTTTCACTTGCAGGTAAATAGTGTGTACATTTGGTTGAGCGGATGGAGGGAATAAGAGAGAAGTCTTGGAAATCAAACTACTTCTCATGTTTACTGCATGACCTTGTGCAGGTTACTTCAGTTTCTTGAACTCTAAGACAGAAACAATAAATCTCAAGAGGATGATTTGAAAATTCCATGAGGTATTAACTGTAAAGGACCTGCTGTAACACCTGGTGTATAACAAACGCTCAAACAAGTATCATCTACTATGATGATGACTATACTATTTGTGTTCTCTGCTCTCACTTTGCTGAATCCTTTCTTTAGGTTAGAAAACTAGCAGAGAACAGGTAGAATGGCTCCTGGGTTGGATGCAGAGGCCGTAGGCTGAGGTAGCCCCCTGCTTGCCGCTATTGAGTTCCATCTTTCCTAATAAGACAGCCAAGAGAATTGAGACTGGACTGAGCCGCATTTCAGGAGCTGAGGAGATACAGGAGGAGTTCGCAGGCCCCCAGGGCTAATTCTCCAGCCCAAGGTCACTATTCAACCACCACTTGGCCTTCCTCATCTGTGTCACATCAGCCTATAAAATGACAGGAAATTTCTTGTGCTGCAATTAGGAGAGTGCAGGCAGACTTGTATCTCCATGTGGAACCTCATTAAAGGGAGTGATAAAGTGAAGGTCAGCCATCTTTATAAGGACAAGATGTGAAGAATCAAACACCCAGAAAGCCAGAAAGCTAAGGGGAAAGAGAATGCACTTTCAACACCATGGAATTAAAAAGGGAGAATCTTTATGGCATAGAAACTTGTCACCAACTCTCCAAAATTCAACTTAAAAAGTTCTAAAACGTAAACGTTTAGAAAGATTTTAAGATCAGAGGGCTCCAAAGAAAATGAGATAAAGGCAACAAAATTTTATACAACGTGAAACCAAAAAAGAGACCTGCCGTCCCATGCAAACGTATGCTGAACATTTGTCATGTTCCAGCACTGTAATTTTACATATTGCTCAATTACAAATAATCTCATACCACCCTGGGACTATGCACCTTTTCATTTATTCAGCAGCCATTTATTGAGGGCACCCATGACCAGATTTCATTTTATTCTATGGTCAGATAGCTGAAGGACTGTTGTCCTTTGCCTGCACAGGGCTACACCTGCTCCCCACTCCCAGCACAGAGAGAACAATGAGGGGAGGAATGGAAAAGAGAGAGAGAGAGAATACACACAAGACTATGTGAGAGATAGTAACGTAGATGGAGAGTGACTTCGGGGTGTTAGTTCTGTCTTGAATATCTCAAGCCAACTCCATTCTTGTCCTTGCCTTGTTATAAAATCCAGGAATTATCTAATTAGATTTGAGTTCCTAATAAAGAAGAGAAAATAAAAACATAAAATAAAATAGACCATGACCCCACCGTTCAAGAAGCTTAAAAGCTAGTTAAAAAGACAAGCGTAGCTATTTTGAACTCCTAAGCAACACTAATGTACACTTACAATATCCCACAAGGATACCAAAGGCCACAGGACAGAGGCTTTTCTTCCTAATGGTTGTGTTCTGTACTATTAAACAGTATCTGTTATTCTCCTTCAACTGCTTCATTTTAGTTTCTACATCAGTTTTTGAGAGCAAGAAGATTAGAGTGTAATCCCATAGAAACCTATTATTTCAAGACAAATACAATGGGTAATGGTCACACTTTCCAGACAGGGTTCCCTGAAATGGCAGTCGTGGCATACACGGGGCTGAGCCTGTTCTCAAAGTAATAAACCCTGCATACAGCAGGAAGCCTAATACGTGGTAAGCACCAAATAAATGGCCATGAAATGAACAAATGCAGCTACCATACAGAGCTAAGTGTTTTCATGTACGAAAAATGTTGTGTTTTGTCCTCTTAGACACCCCCACATAGATGGCAAAAGGAAGGCCATTGAGACATTCTGCAAGCAGGACCACGCATTACTTGGTTAAGGACAACATTGTCCCCAGGAGTTCTCTCAACAGGCAACAGGTTGTGCTGCATGGCAATGACTGGCTTCTCCCACACCATGGGTCTAGCGTGAGGACCACAGCTGGGACAATTCGGACAAGTGACTCTGGGAGACAGTAGACCTTGCCACAGCCTGGCCTAGGCACATCTGGAGCTTGTTAATGGGGACACCTACTGCTTCCCAACAGCCCCTGCTGTGCTTCCCCATCTCATTTCTATTGCAAGGTGTCTGCTCTGCAAAGGCCAAGGAGCAAGGGCTACAGCTTCTTCACCTAGCTGGCATTAGGAAGACTAGCCACGCCTTCTGCTGCACACACAGACCTCCGTAGCAGCCCAAACACACACACTGGGGATTGACCTTAACCAGACAGCATTTAAATACCAAGGCAAGGAGAAAGGCTCAAATCTGAATGTGACAGGCTGGCACAAATTAGGAAAGATTAATGGAGTCAGATGCATGCTCTTTGAGTCATTTTTAGAAAATCAGCAGGTTTTCCCGATATTATCCTAATCCAGGACCACAGTGGAAGATAATTCACTTGATGGCTCTTGTGGTCAACACTACAGGAATCCAATAAGCTATGTTAATGTGCAGAAGAGATTGGGACTGGGGCAAAAGAGCCAGAGAGCTAATTCTAGGTATGAAATGCTACCAGAACTCAGGAGCTCTGCCGCTTTAGTAAAGTCTGACATTTTCTCTAAGAAAATTAAATAGTTTCAATGATTAATTACACCCCACTTGAGTTAGTCTTTTCAAAGCGTGCCCTCAGAGCTGTGCACAGAAGTTGATTCTTGGAATTTCTTAGCCCAAAATATAATAGGATGAATGGCAAAATGGGGAGGGAAGATACTCTGACCTTTTCAGAAAAGGCCTTTTCTTCAGAGGTGGAGATGGGGACTGGGAGGAAGGGGCAAGGATGATGGGCTTTTTAGTCCAGTCTCCTAAAACTTTTGTTGCAAATTCTTCTGTGACACAGATAGTCATGCCAGGAGTTGATCTGTCCCACATGCTTTTCTTCATTCTTTTGGAAAGAGAGCCTCCTCTTCGTCTGAAAAATTTTTCACCTTGTACTGATTCTATGGGGCAGCCAATCACCTTAACTTGGACCCTGATCTAGTGTTGACATTGCCATAACCCTGTATTAACCAGTTAACCACATGATTCCTCTCATTCCAATAGTTAGTCCAGGGGTACACACATGATCCAAGTCAGGCCTCAGAAAATTTCTTACAGTTGACCTGCAAATTCTGTAAGAAGAAATAATCTTTGCCACTGAATGAACTGGACTTACTTTTGATGGCATTCTTTGAGAGCCTCACTATAGGTATACCCAAAGCCACTAAATTCATGTTTTTACTGGAGCTATAGGTAGTTTGTGCTCAGTTTTCTGTCACAGCCGAGAGAATCATGACACCTCTCACCTAACTACCCAAATGGGTTAGTGTATTTGGTTTATAAAAAGATTATTATACTAAAGTTCTACAAATCAGAAATTCAGAACAAGTCTCAATGTGCTAGAGTTAAGGTTTTGGCAGGACTGGCTCCTTCTAGAGTTTCCAGGGCAGGATGTTTCCATGCCTTTTTTAGCTTGTGGATGCCACTGGCATTTCTTGGCTGATATCCCTTTCTCATGTCACCCCAACCTTTTGTTTCTGCTGTCACATCAAGCTGTGATCTTCATGACACCCTCATATTCAGGTGCTGGTAGTTACAGTGAACTGACCTAAATAGTCCAGAATAATCTTCCAATTTCAGACATTTAATTTAATCACATCTGCGGAATTCATCTACCATGGAAGGTAACATATTCACAAGTTCCAAGGGCCAGGATATAGGCATCCTTGAGGGATCTTTACTCAATCTGCCATAGGCATCTTTTGAGGGATCATTACTCAATCTGCCATAGCTGGTATGGAGTAAATACTGATAGAAAGAGTGTGAAGTGTTAGCAGCATTTCCAAAGTCCAATGCTGTAAGCATCTTCAGAATTAGGGAAGACATAATTATGGCAGAGAGAAAAAGATAGACTCGGGCTCTTCTTTATCATGTTACCAGTCAGGGCTGGGGGAAGCATGGCTTAGCTCAGTGAACATTATACAAGTTCACAATTATTAATTCAAAACCTTGGTAATATAAAATGTGGGACCCAAGTCCTTTCAGGATCACCTTATATCGTATGTTGAGCTGGCTCTAATTACTGGGATTGCCTGAAAAGAACATCACACATTCTATTTACAAGTGGGCAAGATCCATCTCCAGGAGGCACGAAGGCTGCAGGTTTTGAGAGGCTCTGAAGAGCTCACAAGCTGCCCTTGAATGTTTGACATGAGCGGGTACTGATTCACCCACCAAATTTCATTAGTTGGTGAGAAACACACTGTGATATATGACAATCATTGTAGCTCCCATTTCTTCCCCTAGCTGATCTCTAATTGTCTGTCAAGTTCAGAAAAAGCAGTTATCAATATTAATCATGTGATCTAACATCTATTGACACATACTATGGGCCAAATGTACTGCTATGCACATATACTAATGAGTCATGTTACCTGCTGTAACAGATAAACTCCCACATTTCAGCAGCTCAGCATAATGAACGCTTCTTTCTCACTCACCAAAAGTCCAGCAGCAATGTTAGGATGGGGGAGTGTGGCTATGTTCCATGCAAACAAATAGACGCAGGTTGCTTCTGTCTTGTGGATCTTCCATCCCCTGGACCACGGGAATTCCTAGCAAGAGCTAGCAGGCAAGGGGGAATCATGGAGGTTTGTCTATGGGAGACCTTCATGCATCTGTCTCACTTAGAATCCACTAACTACACCCCAAACTCGGTGAACTCCATCTTACTACATGGCTGCTGGAAAATATAGACTGGCTTTGTGTCCAGGAAAAAGGTGGACAAGGTTTTAGGGAGCAAATAGCAATGGCCACCACTGTACACTTCTCACGTGACTTCAGCTCATCCTTCCACCAGCTGTAGAAGGTGGACACCATCAGCGTTTCCACTGTTCATCTGAGTTCACCTGGCTGCACTGCGGCCAGGATGCAAGTCTTGGCCTCCTGCTCCTCTTAACCGTACTTCTCAAGGAGGGGTGATATTTCTCACCCTGCTCTCCCCACCCCTGCCCTGAGGGTCTTCGGTAATGACTTTAGACATTCTTGCTTGTCACAACTAAGGGGCCAGAGCAAGCATTTAGTGGGAAAAAAGCCAAGAACGATGCTACATATCTTACAATGCACAAAGCAATCCCCACAACTAAAATTTACCTACCCCAAGTACCAATAGAGCCCGGATTGAGAAGCCCTGCTCTTAATGCGATGTATTTCTGCCAGAGCAAAAGCTCAGGGGTGTGGGCTGCAGGGGTTACCTCACTGGAGAAGTCCCTGAGTTGACATAAAACTATTAAATTTAAATAGTATGGCGTTTTATTCCTTTAATGCAAGAGGCAAAGTGCCAAATTATTTAACTTATGATGGAAATTATTGCTGTAATAAAAATATATCCTTTGGAAATAGGACTGTAAATAAGCAGAGGCAGCAGCCGAGCCAAAGTTCAAGCTCCACCAGAGTAGCACAGGGTGGTGGGGGAGGAGTCAAGCAGGTGATATTTTTTAGTCACCCGGTCTTAGCTCACATGAGGAAGGAGCACTTATCATGGTGGATTTGGGGGCGTGGTTTGTCTCAACCGTGAGTCCGAGGTTGTTTGGGGACAGCACAGATGAAACCTAGCATGCTTCTTGCGTTCAGAAGGGTTTTTCTTTTCCAAGCTCCAAAACTCCCCCACTGAACATGAGGGACAGAGCTTCACTGAGCTCAACAGCAATTTTGCAGGGCTTTGGATTGAGGAGGCTGGTTTAACCTTCCCCTCAGCCATTTTCTAGCTGTGTGACTTTAAGATTACTCTTTGAGCCACTATTCCCACCTGTGAAATGGGTATAATAACTACACAAGCCTCAGAGAATAGCAAAGATAAATGAGGCAACTGCGTGAGGCGGTTAGCTCAGAGTCTGGTGCAGTTAGCCCTTAAGCTCGAGCTCTTGGCAACATCCACACCATCCGCCTGGAGAGTACTACAGGGAAAGGAAGGAAGCAATGCCAACCCTAGGGGTAGAGCACTGCCTTGAAAAGGCTTCACCATGGCCCTAAACCCCTAGAGAGTCCCAGCTTTGCTCTTTGTTATGAGGGCTAGCCTGGCCACATCAACTAACAGCCTCCAGGCCTCAACTTACTCATGAATGAATGAGAGAGAAAGTCTGGCTCTGGCAGCACCTCTGAGCGCCGTGAGCAGTGCACATGCGGGGAAAGAGGGAAAGCACAGTGTCGGAAGCCAGACTTTACACACAGGCCCCCTGGTTGCTGCCTGACTCAGCCTTTCCTTGTCTCAAGTCCCACCCCCGTCAAGTGCAGGTAACCATAGTTACTACTATGAGGTAAGAAACACAAAGACAGGGATCCTTAGCTGCTTTGTTTATGTCTGTATTCCCAGCACCTGTCTACTCTGCTGTAGAGTGGGTATTCAGTAAGTGTTTGTTGAATGAATGAATAATGAACGGTTCCTGCTGAACAGGATTTCATGCATGGCTTAAACGGAATCATGTCTTTGAAGAACATACAATGTTATGTGGCCTATGGTCTGCATCATGGCTCATATCTAGATTTCTCCCAAAGCCTCATGCACTCAGAAGCGGAACTTTTGGGAGGTGGCTGGATCAGGGGTGTGTGGTGCTGAATGATGGATGTGATGACCGGATTGGTGTACTGATTGGATTGTCATAGTTCTGGGTGTGGCTGAGTAGATTTACTGACGAGGGATGCCCCACCCTGTGTGTGGGTGGTTGCAGCCAGTGGGTTTGTAGCCAGCGTGGAATATAAAGGGAGAGAGGAAAGGCCAGCTCCCTGCTTCCTGTCTGCTGGGCCATGGACTGTTTCTCCTCTGCGGTGCCCCTCTGCCGTGCTGCCTGCCTTGAAGCCACTTGACTACGGACACAAACCTCTACAAACTGTCAAAACTTGTGAGTGAGCTGAGCGTGATGGCACCTGCCTACAATTTCAGCACTCAGGAGGCTGAGGCAGGAGGATTACTGTGAATTTGAGGCCCGCCTAGGCTACATAGTAAGTTCAAGGCCAATCTGAACTACATAGCAAGTCCCTGTCTCAAAACAAAACAAAACAAAACAAAACAGAAAAACTTGTGGGTGTTGGGTATTTTGTGCCAGCAAAGAAAAAGTAACTAAAACTATGCATACAAAAAATTATCACACTATCACTAGCATTGTCTAGATGAGGAATCATCAGACACTCATTGTGATAACCTCAGATCAGAACTAGGAAAAGCCATAGCTGCAGAATTAAGGCAGAAATAAAGTCTAACTCAGTGGTGGCAAACCTATGGCACACCTCTGGCAAATCTACGGCACACCACAGAGGGCGCAGAGAGTGCTCTCTGCTTGCTCTCGAGCCAAATGTTTGAGTCGGGGTTTTTGCTAAACTAAAACCTTAGCATTCAGACTTACTTGCAGTGTTGTGTTTTAAGATAAATAAGTGGATTTGGGGTTGCAGTCTCTAGAAGTTTCACCATCATTCTGCTAACTCTTTTCTCCCAGAATTGAAGTAAGTAAGGTGAGACCTTGGGAACCAGATGTGTCTCTCTGTAGAAGAAACTCATTTGGAAATGAGTTCTCCAGTCAGAAAGCTAAGCCAGGGTTGGAGCAGAAGAAATCACATCTTGTGCTCCTGTATCCAGCTCTGCACCTCAGGTACTATTTACCTTTAGGTGGTTACGACATGTAAGCCAAGGGGATTTCCTCTATTTCTGTTTTTCTGTAGACGAGTTAAGGTTGAATTATCCATCATTTGCAATGACAAAGTCCTGATTGTCATACTACCCAATATAGTCTTTTATTTTGTGAACCTTTCTTTGCTTCCAGAAACCAGAGGTTAGTGCAAATGTTTCCTGGGAAAGAACCAATTATGTGCAATAGAATGGGTATTCAGTAAGTGTTTGTTGAATGAATAAATAACAGTCCCTACTGAACAGGATTTCATGTATGGCTTAAACAGAATCATGTTTTAGCAAAGGGGTAGCTTCTGGCTGCAGACAGAACCTGCAGCCAGAGGCTACCCCTTTGCTATTCTCTCTACTCTTGGGCTGCCCCAGGACTCTTTCCTCCTAATGTCTCTGGGCATCCATCTTGAGGATGATTCCCTAGAAGCCACCAGCCCAAAATGCCCTTGTCTGTGAACTCACTCCATTAGCTTTGGCTTCTGAGAAAAAGGAGAGTTTGTTTGTTTGTCACTTATTATAATTGATTTGTTTCTCCCTAGCTGTGTACTCAATCTCAATTCTCTTGCCCTTGGGAAGCAAGTCCGGGGCCGAGAGCTCCAGGAAGTCTATCATTAGCAGCACATCACTTGTCATGTGGAGGAGCCTGAATTTGGGTGGCCACAGAGATGATAAAAGGGTCTGTAAAGAGGGAAGATGGGAACAGGAGGAGTTTCGCCTGCAGAAGAGAAGCTTTAAGAGGTCTTAAAGGAGATGAGAAGGAGCAAACAATAACACACAGAATGGGGTGACTCAGATGCGGGACACAGGGACTCACTGGTGAAAGTTAGGTCAACCATGGAGCTTTCATAGTTTCCACTGTCCGCAGGTAAATGTAGGTCCCAAAACATCTCAGATATTAGAGGTTTCTTCCTTTCTGAAGGAGGACATGCAGTCAAAACTGTGGAAGAGACAATACCAAGCCTTGGTGTGGCCTTCTACATCCCTCAGACTCATAGGACAATCCTCTGTCCCCTCTGCCTATTTCCTTCAAGAGCACCTGCTCTTCAAGCACAGGCTTTTGGGTTCCAGGTCTCAACTATTCCTGCATCAAACAAATCTACCTCAGTTCCCAAGAATGATCATGCAAACTACCAACAGGATACACACATGAACACCAACATAGTCAACACACTCATGTATGACCTCTTCTCCTTCACATACCAAACTCCAAAGATCACCGAAGAGAGGGTTTTCAGACTATCTGGAAAGGCAGTGGTGGAGTGAACTGCAACAAGGGCAGCGTTCCTGCAGGTGGTCCCTGTTGTCCTCAGCTCACACCACAAAGAAATATCTAGCACCTCCCCCAAGAGGGCTAAAATGAAAGTATTTTTGGCACTGCATCCTTGCTGCCTTATACATATCTAGCATTTGACAATCTCCTCAAACTTTGGTCATAAGCTGCTTTTGTTTGGTTTGCCCAGGAGCTCAGAAAGCCTGCTGGGAAAGTAGTTCTATTAGCACCATTGTGTAGGTAAGGCAACAAGCAGAAACAAATATGTCCAATGACTTCTGAAGGTCAGAAACCTACCGTAAGGTCGAGTTATCATCCAGATTCGGAGAGTCCAACATTTATCCCTCTCATTATCTCCAGTTTGAGAAGGTGTTCAATCCCGTACAGGATACAGTGGCATCTTCAAATGACAGGTAGGGGATTCACCATCATTTAAGTTGGTGGCCTTAGCCCATCACTTTATTATTTTTCGTACCTAAGGAAACTGATTCAGCATTTCAGAGACTGTTAGGATGTCTTAGCAACTTTTCTCTCTTGCTGAGACAAAATACCCAACACCCAAAATTAAGGAAGGAAAGGTTTATTTAGCTCACAGTTTGTGGCAGTTTCAGTCCATACTCAGCTGGCTCCAAGGCAGAGTGGCACACGGCAGAGGGCAACAGTTCATGGTGGCAGAAGACAGCACAAGCAACCAGAACAAAAAGCCAGAAGGGGAGGAGCAAGGCTCTTTCCCTCCCTTATATTGTATGCAAACTACCCACCCCAGGGTGGGGGTAGCACTCACATCCATAATCCCAGCACTGGACTATGGATCAATCAAAAACTCTAGAAGCCCACCCCATGACTCCATGAGGATTTGGGGGAACATCCAGACATAAACCATCACACAGGATATGCAGCAGCATCTTCTCCTCTTCTGGGCATCCCACCACCAAGAACTCAGGGATAAGCCAGGCAGAAAACTGATACCTCGAGCTTGAGATCACACAGAACATCTGTGCTGTGAGCAAAAGCATTTGAAGGTTCTCACGGTATCTCTGGGAAGGCAGCAATGGCCATGCTCCACTGAAACGGTATGAATGGAGTGAAGATACACTGCAATGGACAGACACTGGAATCTGCATGCCATCTTTCTGAATTTGCAATTAGGGAGAATTGTGACTGGAAACACAAGCCCCCAGGATTAGGCACAGAGAACAGTCTAAAAGGTAAAGACAAAAGGGCTGTGATTATTAGCAGCTAAGACACCAAACAGGAAAAACATGAACAGCACTGTGCTGTTTCTCCAACTGCAATATTCTTACCCTCACGATGGCTTGTATTACCCGGGGAAAACTTCAGATGAGCTAGGTTTATTTAAAATGCACAGGGACATGCTCTGGATGTGCTAAGCAAGCAGGCTCGACACCACTTTTACTTTCTTCACTTGCTTTCAATATTAAGATTGAGGCATTGACTGTTAGGTATTCTTCCTGCAGGATAGAGCAGAATATTACAAAACACATTTGCAAGCAGACTAAATCATGATTGACAAAGCGAAATTTGTTAATACAATGGTTTGAGGCACTTGACAGAAATTTTTGTCAACAGTGTAGATTAAGGGATTCAAAAAAATGAAATTTGCAGATGAAATGGCTTTGATGTTTCTCATGAAAAGCATTTTGTTGACAGACTAGATCAGAGTGAAAAAATGTGCATTTTCTCAATGCATAAGTTTTAAGTCTCTGACAAAACACGTATTAGTCCTGCTGTTTTTGCTCATTTGTCATATACTCGATTGGCTTTTCCTTTAGCCATAAAAAAGGCTCAGGCGTGAGTGTAAACAGAGTAGCAAACCTCCTTAGGTGTCACATTGGTCCCACTAGTCGTGAGGTATGGCTGGACTAGTTTTTCAAGTGCTATTGACCAGGTTTTGTTTCTTTTTTTTTGGTTTTTTCTCCGGTACCAGGAACCGAACTCACGACCTTGCGCTTGCCAGGTAGGCGCTTTTGCCGCTGAGCTAAATCCCCAGCCCCAACCAGGTTTTGTTTCAAACATATTCTTTGATCTTATGCTATTAATTTTTTTAAGAATAAGATTCCTGCTCATTTAGAAAATCTCTTCTGGTATGAGTAAGGTTAGTTTGGGTTATAAATAGCAGAAAACAAAAACAAAAACCAAAACCTTCTAAACTAATGATCAAAAAATATGTTTCCAAGAGTAACAGCACCAGCATCTCTTGAAAATTGTTCAAAATGAAAGTTCTGGGGCTGGGGATTTAGCTCAGCGGCAAAGCGCCTGCCTGGCAAGTGCAAGGTTGTGAGTTCAGT